GCAAGAGATATCCAGGCTTGCCAAAACCATTGTGTTCAGGTAATTGTATGACCGCATGGTTGGGGTCCAGAACTTGAACTAATAACCTCACGAGTTTACATCATCTCCTGAGGACGTCAACTTGATTGGTGGAACGCGCATCGAGAAGAACGTTGCAGTTCTGATGTTTGGAACTGTGCTTGTTTTGGATATTTATATGAACCGAAGGCATGGATTCTGTACTTTCTGAATTTTCATTTTGTGAATGTTTGTTGAGTTAGGATACTATNATAAAATGATGATTTGTCAAATTATTTCTTATTGCTTTGAGAAGATGTGGGGTATCAAAACTGAATACAACTTTTTTATTATTAATATAAAAAAGGGCTTTTCAGGGACAATATCTGAAGAATAAATGAATTTTATATAATTTGGACCGATATCGCTTACAACTACCAAGATTTGCAAATCTATTTCATTCAAGTTAATAATAATGTCATTGACAAATTCAAATAATTTTCAACAAGACATGTTGAATGATAGAGATAATACGATATTTTTAATGAAATGTCACTTTTGTCTAATTTCCACTAGTTATTTTATTTTTACGACCAGTTTCGGGTTTTACCCCATTACCAAGTATAAAACTAACATCGGGAGCTTTTAGCTAAGCTAGATGAAGTCGTAGTTAAATGAACAAGGGTGCCAACTGAAAAATTCAACACTGAAGATTATACGGGTTGTTAAACTTATAAATTCAAGAGTGGGGACCTACATAAATCGAGTTGCTCTTGTAGGCGTTTTCAATTGATTTGTTAAATTTCTTCCCTTCATTATATATTTGTAGAATTTTGAAGTTATGTTTACTTGTCTTGTGTTTTGATTCTTGTAGATGTTCATGCATTGTAGATTTTTTGTCCAAACTTTTCATGGAGCCTCACGTCAAAATTTCTAACGTATATTATACACTGTCATCCCCAGAGTATGCACCATAAGGGTTTCTTATTTATTAAGGGTTTTTTGTCAAAAAGTTATTCTTGATAAAAGTTTGTGCATTTCCTAAAACTGAACATGCACCAACAAAATACAGTAAAACATACGTTATATAGGAGGAGCCTTCGAATATATTATTTTGAGACAGGAGTAAAGTAACCTTATTTTGGAAAATCTTGGGAAATGTTATTTGAAAAAATTGTTCAGGATTAAAAAAAAAATCTAGATTTGAAGTCATGGCCTAAAAATAAAACTTCACTCAGATAGCCATGACTTCAAATCTACATGTATTTTCCAATGCTGAACAACTTTTTCAAATAACACCTTCCGACATTTTCCAAAATAGTGGTACTTTAATCTTGTTTCAGAATCAATCATTTGAAGGCTCCCTGTATATTACGTGTGTTTTACTGTATTTCGTTAGTGCATATTCAGTTTGAAGGGATTCACAAACTTTTATCAAGAATAACTTTTTGTCGAAAAACCCTTAATAAAGAAGTTTCCCAAACGGTGCATACTTTGGGGATGACACTGTAATGAGTTTGATTCTATACAGCTCTCCAGATGCGAAATAATGTCATCCTTTCGTTTTTTTTCTCAATTATGACACTTGCATATTTATGAAATTTGCTAATTGAGCGTTTTCAGAAAAAAAATTATGAGTTAGAGTCATCTATTGTTATCTCTGCTGGTGTATCTTACTTTTTTTACAATTTGGCCTTACATCTTTTCAACTGTTTTTTCATACAAGCAGTTTGATATTCAAGATTTTTGAGTTTTCTCTCAGTTTCTGCAAAAACGTTGATGTCTGGGTACTTCTCGTGGGCGAGAAGCATTCGGGAATGTTTGTTGGATGGTAAGGATGTTGATTTAGAAAGCATTCCCAGTTCGGATAAATTCTACTTTGCGGGATACTCACGGATTTTCGCAATTTATCCTGGGATGACCACAATGCAAACTCACGGATGCTAAAAAATTTATTACGTATCTTGGACCTGAACATTGCAACATTATACCTGAATTATTGAAAGGCATGACATTTATTATGATATGCTTCTACTCGTACTTGAATGAGGAATAACTATTACTAGAGATGCTTTCCAGAGCGCATCACAAATATATTTCTCTATCTACATATTCATTCTATTTCTTCCTCTCTCCACCCCTCAANTCTCAAAAAAATGTATAATGATATAACAATTCTGTGAATGCATTAGCATTGATTGAAAAATAATAAATATATCATGTTTTACATGAAAGCGAGATATAGGTTTCTTACTTCAAAAACTAAATCCACAAAAGAAGTATTTTAAATAAAGGGTATGATGAGTTCTTCAATGAGTTTCACTCACTTAAAGTTATCCAAACTTTGCTCATCAGAAGAGTTTTCCTATTTTTGTCCAACAATGCATCAGTCAGTCTTTCATTATTGATACCTGGAATGCATTATTGCTATTTGGAGGTGGCAAAACAAAATTGGAATAAAAATCAAATAGATATGTTTCTCATAGGTTTCTCATGAACATTTACATCTTTTTATGACCTAGAGAGCAACTTGCATTCCCGTTGTTGAAAAGTACTCATTACTTTTCAGTTTCTTGGCTAGGTACCACTCCTTTTACTTTTGACCATATTGAAACTGTCTTGACAAAAAAATTATAAAAATTATGAAAACAAATTATACAAAAGAATGTGTCATTCACTCACTTTTCTCTACTGAAGATACACAACTGAAATCACTCTAGTTTAAACATGTACTTAGTCAAACCAACAAATCCCACACACCAACTCTCCTCGGACCTAAAATGAGGTATTGTAGGTTGAGCACCATGACTTATTGTTTATTTCAAAGCAAAGCTGTCAAGCGTTAAGGGGCAGTCGCTTTCACAGAGCTTCGATTGTCGCGCGCTACACTTCAGTTGACCAATGAGAAATGTTTACTCCAATACTTCACTTCCCCATTCCTCTGTGCCAGGATTTGTCGCTTTGTAATTGAATAATTTCGAATACAAAAATAAAAATAGGGTGAGAACAAACCGATTTATTAATGCAATTGATTCATTTATTGGACCATTCGAATTTTTTTGTCGTTTCCAATCAGATTCTTCGCGATGAGTTCAAAAACTGGTTAACACTATAAGGGTTATTCATTCGATTGAAATCTTCAAATATTTTTGTTTTTAATAATATCTAATTATTTGAATACCTTATCATAAGATAATTCAAAATTCCAGGAATATACCGTATAGAATATTCCGAAATATACCCTATGGTATATTCTAAAAATATACCATATGATATATCCAATCGACAATATTCTTAGAATATTCACGGGAGAATAATCCATTTATAGACATTCTATGCACATTCTTTTGGGTATAATCCTGCCATATTCATTCAAGCATATTCTATAAATATTCTAAAGGCATGTATATATTCCAAGAATATTCTATGAATATTTGGAATATATATGTCCATTTTATGATATAGAGGGAATATTCCATGAATATTTGGTGATGTTTGGGTAGTAATGACATCGAAACCAAATTCCAATCATGTCAATGGAAGAGCCCAGGAGATCCAAGACCAAAATAAGCACGCCAAGTTCAATCAAATGACACGGTTTTGCTCATTTTTTTTTTTTCGATAACTATCGCGAAGTGTATCGGGAGTTATTGCCACATGGTCGTATTGTCAATAAGAACTATTATCTTGAAGTAATGCGCCGTTTGCGAGAAGCATTACGAAGAAAACCTCCGGTATTGTGAAACAACACGTGACTTTGCATCACGTCAATGCATCACCTCATTGCTTGTTCTAATTTTTTTTTGCCGAAAACAACACCGTGATCATGCCTCAGCCACTGTTTTCACCAGATGGGGCTCCCTGCGACTATTTTCTGTTGCCGAAATTGCAGAAACCCATGGAAGCACGTGGTTTCGCGACAATTGAGGAGAATAAATTCGAATCGTTGAGAGAGCTCAAAGACAAACCAAAAGGTGCATATCGGAACTACTTCTTTGGCTGGATAAACCGCTGGTATAAGTGTTTTATATCTGAGGACTAATTTGAAGGGGACAAAATAGAAATTGATGAACATCAGAATATTGATGATGGTACTAAGATATGATACTATAAAATGGGTTAAACTATATTTTAGAATCTGTTCCTTTATCAGAATAATATTGAAATCCCCACCTTCAAAAATTGTGTTATTTACTAACCGATTTTTATGATTGGCTGAAGAGTCATAAAATTACATTTGAAGTCATGTTAGGGTGACGAATAGAATGCGAGAATGGTTATAAGAGTCGTGTTGTCAATGTTCAGTTCTGGAACTTGTAAAGCGAAACACGTGTTGCATTTTTTGTAAAACTGCATAGTGAAAATCTCGCAATAAATTATTTCTTTAATATTGCACATTTGTTTATCTCTAGATAAGAAGCGCGTTTTCCACATTAGCACCCAATGTTGATGGCATCTCGTGTGTTTGTTAAGTAACGCAAGACATTTCTTGAGATATTGCATTGAGTAATTGAATTTGAATTGATGGCATTGAATAACGCACCTGCGAACAACGGTACCTTCTGCTAATCAGACTGAAAATTAGCACTGTGTGGAAACTTTTGATTAGAAGTCTAAACGTGTGAGTAACACGATTTTTGCATGTTATTAACATTTTACTTCATTTTGTTGAATTTTATGTCATTCAACCCATATTATTTATTCAATTTTATATCTAGTCGTGACACAATTTATTTCATTCACACATTGGAGTACANATCGTACATCAGGTAATAAGTCTCCATTGAAGGAGACTTCTTACCTGAGGACTAACTTGGTCTTACCTTTCAACGTGTGATTCCCTACACTGGCAAGTGAAAATCGATCGTTCAAACTGCGGCTTGAACGACCGACTGACATAGCGGTCGATTGACTGAGTGGAGCAAAGCACCCACGTCAACCCGACCGGCTACCGTAGGACATGTTTCTAAAGAGGAGTAGAAGAAAAATGATACTGACAAAGAAAATAAGTAGATGCAAATTTATTTAATTGGTAATCAGTTCCTAATTCTCACAGCCATCCTTTACTCCCGTATGATTGTATTGTGAACCAAATTTTTTCTTTAGCTTTGGAATGAATGTTTTTTCTCATTTCGTCTCTGACTAAGTTACTAGTCATATCTGGTGGTTCTCCGTTTTGGGGTGGAGGCGTGAGAGCCTTATTCTTCTCACCAAAAATAACCATACAAAGGAACATCAAAATGTGTCCCAGCGAACCTTTAGCTTCGAGAGCCAACTCCTCTTTGAATTTAGGTAATTGAAAAGGTGTCGTGTCGCATCCAAGCTCAGTCAAGTTTTTGATAAATTCCGAATGATAGTGATTTATTAAAGTATCCAGGTCCTTCTTTAGGACATCCAGCCGCACGCTGGTGAATAAAAAGAACAGAAGATCCGAAGCAGGGGACCCGTAAGTGTATATCTGGAAATCGACAAATTTATTCGCTACTGGTGTGCCATTTTTCATTTTGATCATGGCATTGTTCACCCACAGGTCAGCATGTGAAAAGGTAGCGAAAGGTTCTCGGACTTCAGGCTGCAACTGTATTGGGGCTTTCAGTATCTCCTTTACTTTTGGTATGAAAGAACTGCATTTGTCAGATTCCCAAAGTATTTCTTGGATGAAAAGTGAAAAAAATTTGGCGTGCTTATCTTTTTCTGACTCTTCGAGATGAAGCGTATTCACACAGTAACGTTTAACTTTATCTTCAAACATCTCCGGATCTTTCAGCTTCATGGCCAATGGAACTGCATGTAAACTGGCTAAGTCTCGTAGAAGTAGTTCAGCTGATTCGAAATCATACCCGACGTGGCGATCCACATTCATGAATCCTAGAAAAAATGTTCGAACAAGTAAAAACTTTTATTGTACTACTAGCACATTGTAACATCATACATCTTTGCCAGAAAATTATTTTCGATGTGTTCTATCAATCATAGATGATCTATAATATTACTAGAGGTTGAAACTATTCCTAAAGGCAGCATAGCTAATCTGTTTGTGAGCAGATTTGAAATGTAAATAATAAAGTAGTTGAATAAGTATTCATGGACTTGGATTCAGACGAAGCGATAGAAAGATCTCACACTATAATTTATTTTTTTCCGAAATCCCGAGAAAATAGTGGGAATGAAAGAATAAATCATAGCATTTTTATTATTTGGAAGAATGGTGTTTCTACGGTTTCATAGATCCGATAATTTGATGAGGTATTTGGCATTTTGTCACAAATGGGAGTGAGAGCATCTACTTGATATAAATTGATTACCAATTTCCACATCAGAGGACTGATTCAACAGAAGGGAATAATTCAATTTGGTCATTCAGGGAATTCTTCGGATTCTTGGTTCTATCAATTTCCCAACATTTCAGAAGTTCAAAGAGAAAGGTTTAAAACTCAATCTTTTGGAATGCTTGAAAACGTATAGATTTAAGACTTCGAATAATTTACCGAATGACCAAATATAATTGAATTCTTCTCCCGAGAAAGCTATAGTATAGCGAAATATGTGTTGCGGTTTTGCAAACTGCACTATTGTGGAAATTTCACAATAGAATATCATTTGGATACATTACGAATTTTCATCAATTGTTGGCTTATTCCATTACGTATCATTTGAAGTACTGTCATTATCTCACAAGAGGATTCTTTGAACAAACTTGTGAATATCTCTAGAAAGCATTGCTTGAACTTAAATTTCAACAAATCATCTTTTACGATGTTTGGAAATTCTAAAGATGGGTCGATAAAATTGAAAATATCGACGAAATTAAAACCAATAATCTACAAGAACAATTCGTTCGGGCCAGTATCTACTCACCTACACTGTAGGTTAATGGACTGACACCTACCGGAAAACAACTACTACCCTGGCTAATACCACGAAGGGCGTTGGTTACATCTGTCCGAAGTCAGTGCAGGAATCTTCACAGAAGTATTTCCTGCATATGCTGTTGGCGATACAACTGTCGAAATTGATTTTTAGTTACTGGAACGAACACATTTGCAGACCGGTTTTGGACTATTTGGCCTCTCGTCAGTGCAAAGTGATGGCCATCATCAATATAGAGTCGATGATATTCATTAATTAAAAATCGAATTCCTTTCAGAGTAGATAATCGAATTTACAGCAAGCCTTCAAGTATGCCCACTGACTATATGTGACAAGTTTTTTTTCCTTATACGATGAATTGGGCAACTTTGGATATGCAGTTGGTTATTACCACGTTTACTAGATGGAGCGATGACAAATGTGTTGTTTGTCGTTCACTTCAGCCTGGTTCGAGGAATGATACTCTTTAAGGAATTTGATTTCTAATCATGGAATATATCGACTCTATGTTGATGACTGCCACTATCTGGCAGTGACGAGAAGCCAAATAGCCGGAAACTGGTCTGCAAGTGTGTCCGTTTCAGTAATTGAAAATCAGTTCCGGCAGTTGTATCGCTAACACACAGGGAATACTTCTGTGAGATTTCTGGACAGACACCTGTCGGATATAATCCAACGCCCTTCGTGGTGTTAGCCAGGGGAGTAGATGTTTTCTGATAGGTGCCAGTTCATTAAACTACAGTGCAGGTGTAGATCCTGTAGTAGAGACTGGCCAGTCTTCAAGTATGCCCACTGACTATTTGTGAAAATATGAAATTAAATGTTTGGGACTTGATACTAACTGGAAATTACTCTCCAATCACATGAAAATTCAATAATGTGAAGGGCCTATGGATTGACGAAAAAATTCAATTCGAACATGCAACTACTGCAATATCACTCATGGCCATTGTCTCGATCAAATATCGTCATAAAGAATACAAACAGATCAGAAATATACAATATTGATTTTTGGCTTAAAATTCAGAGATCCTGTATCTCCGTTCTTATATCACAGATTGGCTGGCTGAAAATGTTCAACAGAAGAGAATTGCATCTGGCTAACTTCGTTCATAACCTCAGATTGAATCAACAACCTCAATATCTTCTGAAGATGTTGACAATTAGACACGTTGCACATGATACAGGTCCCAGAAATCAAAATGAATATTCTATCCTACAGAATATAGTCCGGTCAAACTGAACTCCAACTGAAAAAACTATTTTCTTCTTAGAACCAGGAAAAAATCAATCGGAAATATATTCATCAAAAAGTTTATCTACTTTGGCAAAGTGTTGAAATCAAGTACTATTGTTACACGAAATAACTGGCTGTGATACGATATCTGCATTTTACAGGAGGGGTCAAATAACAGTTTTCAGAATGTTTGAGAAACAAAATTCAGTTCAATGTGCTGAAGTTTCAAAGAAAAAAGTAATTCAACTCGACAAGAAATAGTCACTAACAGCATTGGCTTTCTTCTTTCTATGTACTGAGCTCCTAAAAAAACTACTTGCTTAGATAAGTATAGATATGCACGTTTCTTTAAAAATACCAGAAGTAAAAAACAAGTACAATTACTTTGTCTTTCTCCAAACTCAGTTGCTGCTCATCAACATGTTTTTCAGGTTTATTACTCAGTTCAAGCGTGGCTTGGTTATTAGCTAGACCCTACAGACTGGAGCTGGAAGTTNAAAAAAACAAGAAAGAAATGATGTGGAAATAAATCTCTCAAGTTATAAATTTCATAATGGTAAAAGATTCTCACCTGAAATATGTAAATTTTCTAACATGATAACCGCTTTCTTATCAACAACTTCACTGTTTTCATCCAAATTTATTCTAGCTCCATAACATTTTGCAAAACAATCAAGAACATTCTTGACTCCATTTTCACGCTGAAAGTTCTGAAGAGCCGGTACAACTTTGTTGTAGAAGTTTATTTCACCTTTGAATGTCTGTTGAATATTGAACATTTTTTGGGCGAATTCATTTGGAGGTATTTTCTTTGCCACTGCATAATGAATTTCTTCTGTTCCTTTTTCTTCATGACGCGTAACAAATTCTAGTTTAAGAAGTTCTCCCCCATAATTTTCTCCTGGAGCTACCAAATTCTCGATCTTTACATCCACGATGGACTTATTTTCTCCTATATGTTTCTTCAACAAATCTTCAATTTGCTCTATTTCAGACATTGTTCTCACACTCACTCACGTAATACTGTAGAGAAAATTACATTGAACTTAAAATTTTATAATCATTTACACAACAGATATTTCAAAGCAAATCTTATCATACAATAAACCTTGTGATTTATATGTAAATGAATATCACTGATAATAATTGTACTACCTATGACTAGCATGACTCAAAAAATTGAGGCGATCTCTCATTTATTAGTTTGACTATAAATAAATCAAAAAAGTAATAATAATATCTATATCTGTTGGCCTATTATTATCACCTTATACACTCCCACAGTGTTTCCTTATTACCTCTTTCTGATATTTTTTTTATGATGATCGAATGAAATTCCACGGCTAATATAGAATTTCAAAAAAAGGTAACAAGTTGCTAACGGCAGTCAATATATTGGGAGAGCAGTGGTTGTGGCTTTTTTATTTTGTGGAACAACCTTTTTTTTGGGATGGGGCGCCACTTGATTTGATTTTGCTAAAATCAAGAAATAAAAATATGAATACCTACGTCAGAAAATTATTTAATAGTTGCTGCAGCCTAAAACTCCAAAAATATGGTAGACAAAAAAGCGGTTATTGTTTTCATTAAAAAAAGTATGTGATCCGGTAACACAACAAATGAAATACTACGACGCGGCTGCAGCTGTAGTAGAATCTTACAAAACAACGTTATAAAGTAAATTCATATGACTTTCATTATGTCTACACAAAATAATTATTGAAACGTTGGAAATAATTTTTGAAACGTTAGATGCATGTAGGTACATATTATTCAAAAAGGAAACATCAGGTATATAGTTGCTCTCCAAAAATAGGTTGTCTGTGTAGTGGAAATCAACTCCGATGTAAAAAATTGGAAATTCCTCACCAAATGAGTCCCTTCTTTCCTGGATGTTATCAGCAACAGGCTGTCTGAGGGGTCGAGTAGATTCTGGATGTAGTCTGGAGGATCAGATAGTTTTATAATTGGCCGAAGAGTCATAAAATTAAATTTTGAGCTATTTTACGGTGACGAATATAATGCGAGCCGTCGTGTTGTCAATGTTCAGTTTAGGAACTGATCGCGATTTAAGTGTTGACATTCGATATTGGTGCAGTTATAATTACTTGAAATTTTTATCTGTTTAAAATGTGGCGTCCTTGGACAAGTTCTGATAGTAATAACGAGTGTGATAACAACGCAGACTTTTTCCTGTGTAGTGATTCCAATAGCGATGGTGAACAATGCGAAAAAGATATACCAGTGAATCAGATTCAGATGTATTTGAATATTGAAACACAGAGAGTATGTTTCAATGTATATAAGAATGTACATCCCAAATTTGGTTTCGAGGGAAACAAACTATTACAAGTAATATCAGATTTGACCGAAATTCCTTTCTCAACTGTACGTAAAATAGTCAAAAACAAACCTCATTAACGTAAGGAATAACTGGAATCATAATGAAGAAATTGAATACTTTCGGTCATAACGTGAGCTGCTGTGACAAAACTCTTCAGAATTGGATAAAGAAACTAGGATTCAATTTTGAAATAATGAACAAATGTCAAGCAGTTATGGAGAGCCGAAGAATAGTGGAATTGTGTAATAAATACTTAAAACAAATAACTAAATGTAGACACGAACAACGGCAAATTTTCTATTTGGACGAAACTTGCTATTACACTCATGACACAGTTACGAAAGGGTGGACTGATGGTTCGAGAATGTGTACACCCAACATGCCTGCAAACACAGGATCGCAACTAATCATTGTGCATTGCGGAGAAAGTAAAGGATGGTTTCCGAATTCTTTGAAATTATGTGGATAAAAACTTGAAGACTGCAATGTTGACTATCATAAGAATGTGGAAGCTAATATTGTTGAGGAATGGTTTGAAAACACATTGATCCCAATTTGGATGCGAATAGTTTAATAGTTCTTGACAACGCTTCCTATCATTCGCAACAGCTTATGAAAGTACCGAAATAAAAGTTCACAAAAAATAAAATACAAAGTTGTTTAATGGATAACAATATGTATTTCGAAGATAACTATACCAAAAACCAATTACTTGAAGTTTTACAGAGAAAAACATTTGATAAAGTGTATGCCCTTGAGAGTATTGTTGAAAAGTATGAACACACCATATTGAGACTCTCCCTCATTTCGTGTATTTTCAGTGCCATCGAGTTCATTTGGGGAAAATTGAAACAAAGTATCAGGCGTAAAAATAATTTTCCACAATTTGATAAGATGAGAAGGTAATAGAGGTAATCGAAGAGGAAGTAAAAGTACGGTACATCCAAGTGTAAAGGATAGGCAACACTTGCTTGCGAAAAAGGGTCGAAAACAAACAAGCGGATTCACCACAAGGGGCCAACTGCCGCTTGTTTGTTTGTTGTTGTAATCACAAGGTCTCTCGACGATGACACGAAACCGCAGTTGGCCCCTAATGGTGAATCCGCTTGTTTGTTTTCGACCTTTTTTCGCAAACAAGTGTTGCCTATCCTTTACACTTTTCTGTACCGTACTGACGAAGGCTAAATAGCCAGAAACACTTGTCTGCGGTTTGCCCTCTTTCCTATGAGTGCTCGTCCAATAACTTCTCTACATCATAATGCCATGTCACTCAATACCCATCATTCTTGTTGATTTATCCTGGACCCGGATGTCTCGCAGGTTGCTATTGCTGCACACGTGACGAAGTTGGGAGTTAGTCCTTATAATTGCAAGGTCTCCCGACGATGACACGAAACCGCAGTTGGCCCCTGATGGTGAATCCGCTTGTTTGCTTTCGACCCTTTTTCGCAACCAAGTGTTGCATATCCTTTACACATGGCTTTACCGTACTGACGAAGGCTAAATAGCCAGAAACATGTGTTGGCGGCTCGACAACTGTCTCAGTTCAAGAAGAATCTTTTATAATATTCGAGTATGCAGTCAATAAGTGGATGGTAAAATAAGTGAACCCTTTTTTCTGTTCTAGCTTTCGAGTCTTTATTGGCTCTTCATCAGGAACTCTACAGTGAATTGATAATTGATTTTAATATTTATTTCGACAAATTGTGAAACGTGTGACACTTACGAAAGTGAGGTTAGTAATCCCTTTCACTTGCCGCGATTTGTAAACATAACATTTCCCAAACGACAAACACTCTTGGTAAAACACAACATGAAAATAAAAACTTTACATTATGTAATTATTGATTAGATTATTTGAAATATACTCAGTATTCAAATACTGATAGTAATAACGAGTGTGATAACAATGCAGACTTTTTTCTGTGTAGTGATTCCAATAGCGATGGTGAACAATGCAAAAAAGATATACCAGTGAATCAGATTCAGATGTATTTGAATATTGGAACACAGAGAGTATGTTTCAATGTATATAAGAATCAACATCCCAAATTTGGTTTCGAGGGAAACAAAGCAATTATCAAAGCAATATCAGATTTGACCGAAATTCCTTTCTCAACTGTACGTAAACCTGTAAACAAACCTCATTAACGTAAGACGCGATGTGATACGGGATTACCAAAAACCTTTAAATGTTCATCTAATAAAATATACGACTCTTACAAAAGCAATGAGATTCCTACAACTGAAATCATAAGGAAGAAATTGAATACTTTCGGTCATAACGTGAGGTGCTGTGACAAAACTCTTCAGAATTGGATAAAGAAACTAGGATTCAAATTTGAAATAATGAACAAACGTCAAGCAGTTATGGAAAGCAGAAGAATAGTGGAATTGCGTAATAAATACTTAGAACAAATAATTAAATGTAGACACGAACAACGGCAAATTTTCTATTCGGACGAAACTTGCTATTACACTCATGACCTCATGACACAGTTACGAAAGGGTGGACTGATGGTTCGAGAATGTGTACGCCCAACATGCCTACAAACAAAGGATCGCAACCAATCATTGTGCATTGCGGAGGAAGTGACGGATGGTTTCGGAATTCTCTGAAATTATGTGGATAAGAACTTGAAAACTGCAATGTGCAACTGCAATGAACATGGAAGCTGATATTGTTGAGGAATGGTTTGAAAACACATTGATCCCAATTTGGATGCGAATAGTGTAATAGTTCTTGACAACGCTTCCTATCATTCGCAACAGCTTATCAAAGTACCGAATAAAAGTTCACAAAAAATAAAATACAGAGTTTTTTAATGGATAACAATATGTATTTCGAAGATAACTATATCAAAAGCCTATCACTTGAAGTTTTACAGAGAAAAACATTTGATAACGTATATGCCCTTGAGAGTATTGTTGAAAAGTATAGATACACCATATTGAGACTTTCCCTCATTTTGTGTGTTTTCAGTGCCATCAAGTTTATTTGGGGAAAATTGAAACAAAGCATCAGGCGTGAAAAGAATTTTCCACAATTTGATGAGATGAGAAGGTAATAGAGGTAGTCGAAGAAGAAGTAAAAGTACGGTACAGCCAAGTGTAAAGGATAGGCAACACTTGGTTGCGAAAAAGGGTCGAAAACAAACAAGCGGATTCACCATAAGGGAACAGGAGAAGGATATTCAGAGCCATTTTGGCAAGCTTTGGATATTCCTCACGAATTCTGCACCATGAATCGTTGAGAGGCATCATTTTGAACAGTGACTCCATACTTGTGTTTGATGATATCTCGTTTAACATTCTTTCTGGCTTCTGCATGTTGGGTAAAAAGGTATTATGAATCCATGAATTTAGTTTCATTAGTGTATTCTGTCTTTCGGGAAAATACTGCGCGCATTGAAGTGATATATTGAACCAATTTTTCAAATACATCATCTTGAAACATATCTGAGTCGTTATCCCTAACAAACTTAGTGAATGACGAAAGGCTTCCTACTCCTCTCTTACCAAAGCAAGTAATCCAAAAATCTAATTTTCTTTTAAAGGCAGTTATTTTATTACAGGCCTGGAACGTTATTGTCTATTTACCTTGCAGTGATGAATTTAATTTGTTCAGTTTTTTAAAGATATCCAGACAGTCGAAACAACCAAGTTCTATTATACAAACGGTCTTTCAAATTGAAGGAATCTGAA